GGTTTTTTTTTTTTTTTTTTTTTTTTTTTTTTGTGTGTGTGTGTGTTTACTTACTTCAAAAAATAGTTTTGATTACTAAATGTTTCTAGGAAAACCGAGGTGTAAGTAGCTCTGGATGTTGATTTTGGAGGGGAAGTTAATTAACCGTGACAATCTCTTTTAAGATAATTCTTGGCGTAGTGGAAAACCTCCCGGGTTTGAGGTTATTATTTCGCTTTTGTGTTTTCGCTGTTGTTGACCGGAGGGCAGCAAAAGTCCCCGGTTGCTAAGGTTAACTTTTTGACGTGTTTATAAAGTAACATGTATACAAATGTTAGGAGCTGTGGCTGCCTTAGTACTCTATTTTCATATAAAGTTTGTCTCCAGCTCTTGTGAACGTTGTTTGTTTCAGTACAGAATTAATCTCGGCTGTTTCTTTCCGCGGTTAAAGTGAAACTTGTTCCAGTCGTCATTGTTTTTAGGTTTTCTTCCCTCTCATTCCCAACCTCAAATGCTCACTAGGTTAGAAGTTAAAGGCATGCATGAAATTTGTGTTTGTTTTAATACTAATGTAATTATTTTTTGCTTATGAAAAAAAAACATAGCTCTTTGTAACAGTTCCTACAGACTTCTTCAGCGCCACTGTCTCCTTTTAGACACCCCCCCCGTCAGCTTTTCATTCTATTAGTACTTTTTCCTTGGCTTAGTAATATAATTCGTTGTTAAGTGTTGTTTGAAATGCACTTCCTGATATTTCTACAGTAAGGCACACACTATTCTTTAAAAATCACAGCTCAGAGATGCCTTCCATTAACTCTTTGAAAGCAACTGCTCCTTCCACAGGACCTCGAAGGCTTTGTAGCCGCTTGACATGGACGTTTTGTTTTGCCCAGCAAGCTTTGTGTTGTATCCTCTTTTATTGCAGGTTTTTAGCAGACAAGTTAGCTAAAAACAAAAACAGATTTGTTAACTCTTCGCCACAGCTGTTGGTGTTGACACTGGTTTCAGAAAAGATGGAGGAATTGGCTTTTTAACTACCTTCTAAAGTCGAGTGTTGTTGAACCTGCCTGTAATCCCAGACGTTGGGAAGTGGAGGCAGGAGGATAAGATAGTTGGAATAAAGCCTTACATACATAGCAATTTGAGGCTAGCCTTGTCTGCAGGAGACCCGTCTCAACAAGTCACGGAGGAGGGGTTAAAAAAAAAACAAAGCAAGAACCAAAGAACCATATAGGACGTTGTTCCACTCTTGTAATCCCAGTACTTGGGAGGTGGAGGCTGGAGAATCAAGAGTGTGAGCCCTTCCCCCGGGCCAAAATAACAAAACCCAAGTTAAATAGAACCCCCTTCCAGTATAACTTAGGACACACTAGGGATGTTAGAATACATTACATGTATCATTAGTTCCTTTTTCCTGAGAAGCTAGACATCCAGGCACTGAAAACGTACAC